GTTCTGATGCAGAACCAGGCCATCAAAACCGTCATCACTGAGTTCTGTTGGAAGGTAGTTAGACCCAGTAAACAGCAGCTGGTTCTCAGTCAGCAGTGAGGTTCTGGTCGAGTTCTGGACGGATTTAAATGGACAACAGAAATCAAAGATAGGCAGGAATTTTTTTCAGATATAAATGTATGTAAAAAAATCTCTGAATTCTGGAAATCCGTTCGGTTCTGGAACTCTGTAAACTGGAGTTTATGATCTTCCCTGTCTGGATCACAACCTCACAATACCAAAGTGTTTATATTAACAGATTCTGAAACCGATTTGATCCAAACCCGGAGATCTTTCCTCCCGGTTCTGTTGTGAATTGAATGTTTGAACCCGGCCGTCTGAGATGTTCCTCTCAGTTGGCATGGGACCGGTGGCAGAACCATCACACAGATTTCTGCTGGATGGAAAAACTGTCTCCAGGAAACAGGGAATCTAAACTTGGATGTGGAGGCGGAGAAAAAAGGATCTTGAAATGCTTACTGGGAACATTTAGGGAATAAAGAACCATTCCGATTGGTTCCGATGCTGGAACAACAAATATCGCTTTTGTGTGAATTTTGCTTTTGAAGGAAAACATCTTGGGGTTGATGGGAACAGTGAGAAAGTTTGGGAATTTTCTGCAGGTGTCTGAAAACTGGAGCAACTTTTTGGAGAAAACTTTAACAGAAGAAAACCTTTAAGGAACAATAAAAGTTTCTCATTGGAAAACAGGAATGTTCACGCTGGAATCTCCAAGAACTTTCTTGGGAAAAGTCCTGATAGGAAACGTTAAGCCATTTAGGAAATAAGGGAAACTTTTGGGAATGTGAAACTTCCCATCAGTCAGTTTCAGATCTTCTGAGGATCTTGGAATATTTGGATTTGCTCAGATCTTTATAAAAATCGGTTTGTAGGATCAGATCTTCCCAATCAAACCAAAGCCTTTTCCAGATTGTCATCTCTTCCATGTTTCTTCCTGGGAAGGTCAGAGAACTGAACAATGACTTGGCAGAACTCTACGGACCCAGAGGAGAAGGCTGAGTCTCTTTGGATCCGGGACACAGGCGGCTCAGCAGGATCTCGGAATACACCTGGTTTATTTCTCCCCTAACGTGATAGGTTGATCCCACTTCCTGCTCCACGTCCAGCACAGCTGATTGGCTGCCAGGTTCAGGTCCAGCTCGGATGGTTCTGGTCATTTTTCTGGTGGATTCCAAGTCGTCTCTGGGTTTGGAGGACTGGATCTTCTCAACCTGAGGGAAGAAAAGGTTTGAGGAAGTGAATCAGGTGGAGATAATGAACTGGGATTTGGAAAAGTTCTGATTCTTCTTCAAAGAAGAGAAAATCTCTCCTTTAATTTGGGAATTTAAAAAATCTTTTTTTTTAAGCCAGAGCTTCATGCTGGGAGCTTTAAATGTTCTTTTAAAAAGCAGGAAGTCAGAAAAGGTTGGAAGTTGTAGATTTGTTGGGAACGTTCTGGTTTGAGAACTTGGACCTTTAGTCCGTGAACAGATTTCCTCTTTTAGAAACTTTTCTTTGGGTTTAATAGAGGAACCTCTGGGAACTCATCAAGTTGTGGACCCTGAAGGTTCCTTTTAAAAGGGAATTTATAGAAACTTCTAAATCATTTTCTTGGACTAAAGAACATTTTTTTGAACTAAATATAAAAAGTTTCTTTCTCATGAGAACTGGACATTCTAGCTTGTTCTAGATCTAGAACAAGTGATCTGGGAGACTTAATCTTCCCCCAGGGTTCTAAAGCTTTTTGGAGAGGAACCCCTTCATAACCACCCAGAAGAAGAAGAACCTTGTGGAACAGTAGGAGAACTTGGTTTACCTCATGGAAGTGACAGGCGCAGCGTCCCTGAAGGAACTCTTTGTATCGCCCCATGGTGATGCTGAAGGTGTCGATCACCTCGTATCCTAGATGTTTTGCTGTGGAGATGATGTCTCGGTTCTCATTGAACAGGTTTTGGATCTCCGCCTGGAACCATGGAAGCCCATCAGGGAATTTTAAGGAGATGTTTGCATACTGGAGGAAACACAAACCTACCAGACTCAGGGACCTGATGCCGTCCACAGGAAGGTGGAAGCCCATCCCCAACGACTTCACCACCACCAGGATCTCACTGAGAGACTCCCTGGTGATCAGAGGGACAAAGAGAACAGAGTAAAAGAGTAAAAGATCTAAAAAAAAAAACTCCAGGAGGAGTTCCTCAGGGATGACTGTTAGGAGCTCTGCAGTTTGATTCTAGTTGGATGGAAACACCTGCTTCTTGTGCTTCTAGGGTTTGTTCCTACCTGTCAAGCACCTCCTGGACCATCTTCAGGTGGTTGGTGTTGAGCCACTGGACTCCTCCCAGCACAAGCACTGTCTGGTTGGAGTTTTCTAACGGTCGGGACCTTTACAGGGTTTTAATAGTTCATGGTTTCAGTTTGATTCTCTCACAAAATCTGTCAGAGGAGATGAAGCTCACCTGTTCAGGAGCTGCACCAACGCCTCCCTGAAAGTCGGCCTCAGGTTCTTCTCCAGCCAGAACTGAGGATAATAGGAGTAGCTGACCTGAGTCCGCCCTTGGTTGAGGTTCTGGTAGAGGAGCGTATCGTGAGCTTTTCCCCAGTCATCTAGGCTGGAGTTGACCCGCTCCATCAGGAAGTACATCATGCCTCGATTGGTGGAGTCCCCGACGAACAGCAGCTGAGGAAGAGACGATTCCTGTGAGCCAATCGGCTTAAAGTCGTGAAGGCGACATGAGGTTTGGTCACATGACTTCACCTTCCTGTCCATCATGCAGTCCTGCAGCAGGGGGCGCTCCACCAGCGGGTGATAACAGCCGTCCGGTTGCCAGGTAACCTCTCTCCAATCACATGTTCTGTTGTCAGAGCAGCTGAGACACGGAACAACCCACCGACCTGAAGGACGGATAAGAACCAGGTATCAGACCCACCTGGACTGTTCCTGAGTCCAAGCCGCTACACTTTACATGATGATGATGGGTGATCCTTTTCCTGACTCAGACATGTCATCTGATGGTTGATATGGAGAACCCCCCTCCCTTTTTGCTGTAGTTCTACAACACAGAGTTTTAGAGAACACCACGCTCTTAATGGTCCAACAGTTTGTTGACAGAGAACTACCTTTCTAGTTTCTCTAAAAGTAGTTTCATCTGGTCTGTTCCTGTTTGGCTGTGACTCCATCCTGGAGAGAAATATTAGCTGTGCTGCTGCCATCAACACCTTTGTTTATAGATGTTGGAGATCGGTCTGTTTTTCAGTGTAGTCCTGTTTCTCTGAATGTGACTAACTATATGTATGTCTGCTTCTGTCTCCTTGAACCCCAGTCTGCCTCAGCAGATGGCCACTGACACTGAGCCTGGTTCTGCTGGAGGTTTCTTCCTGTTAAAGGGAGTTTTTCCTCTCCACTGTCGCTACAAGCATGCTTAGTTTGAAGATTGCCTTTGAGTCAATTACTCGATGCAATCAACTGGTTTTCCTTAGATAGAAAACTTTGAATCAATCTGACTGGATGATCTGGTGAACTGTAAAGTGTCTTGAGATGACGTGTTGTGAATTGGCGCTATAGAAATAAACTTAATAGAAAATTTAAAGCTGTCATCTGGCAGGCATGGACTGGCCATGGGGAGGATGGGGGTCAGCTCCCGGTGGCCCAGCCTGGATGATTCAGGATCTGGAGGACCTGGAGTGAGAAAGCTGCTATCCTTGGCTAATTTTAAGGCATCTCTGCTGCCCTGAATTTAAGGGACAAGTTTGACCACCTGAGAGGACTCTGTCTTAGACAAAGTGGACAAACAGATGAGACATCCCACCTGGGACATGTCCTGAGCTGCAGGGCTGGACCGGACTCTGAGAAGAGACATGAGGTCGGAGACCGCAGGAGAGTCTTGGCTGGACCTGCAGACCACAGTCCTGAAACAGAGACAGAAGGAGGACAGCGTCAGAGAGACTCTGCTCCGCTGCATACATCTCCCAGAATGCATTGGGTTTGTTTTTGCAGCTCTGAGGGTGTCAGGCAGACTGTTGGATCCTCTTCATCTTAAAAAAATCAAAGTTGGTGTTTCTTTCATCCCAGCATCTTTCCATCATCTTCCTCAGCCCAAAGGTCAGAGGTCAGATAAACCCATCCAGCTCAGATCAGGGGCCCCGTGGGAGCCTCGGCGTCTGGCCCCTGACTTCACAGCCACCGCCACCCTCACAGATACTCTCTCTCCTTCTTCTTCCTGCGCTGCTGCAGGGTTCTTCGTGGCGGCGCCACATTCCGCACGGCGGCGTCGCAGCTCGCAACACAGTGCGACAAGAAAACTTAACAGGGATTTTCTTGTTCGTACCTGAGCTCAGAGTAAACGCTCAAACCGTGCCCGAGGCTGCTCCAAGATCCGCCGCAGCACCAAACAGGCCGCCCAGGCTTTCATCCCACAACAAGGGATTGTTTCAGGCCCAGAACCCACGTCGGCCCAGAATCGCAAGCAAACATTTCCCAATTTTCACTCATGGGGGTCGATGAGCTGCAGAGGCATCTGAGCAGGTGAGATGTTCAAACTGAGCAGAAGATAAGAGGCCTGGTTTTCAATCTGCATCCTTCCTGTTTGAAACGCCAACAAATACTTTGACCTAAAAGGTGGAAAACGAAAAAACACCTGTTGATTAAAGTTAAATAAAACCTTTAAGTTCCTGTAGTTCTTAGAAACCAGCCTGCAGAAAATAAACAGGAAGTTTCTTCTCAGTTAAAAGATTCTGGACTGTTTATCATTTCAACTCATTTTTAAGCTGCCTTCTGATGGCATTTTAAGGAAAGGATTTTTATCAAAAACCTAATTAATGTGCACAAATAAGTAATAGCTGTATTAACCATACATGTAAACAGTGTTTATGGGGCCCCCAGGAACTTGGGTCCCTAGGCAACTACCTAGTATTGCATAAAAGGAAAACCCACCCCTGCATCAGCCAGCACAGTTCCAGCAGGAACCTAAACTTTTACCGTGGAAACATTTTTCTGTCTTTATTCTGTCTGATCCAAACTTTAGCTTCAGATGCCAGAACCTTTTTCCATGTATGGCTCTTTGGTTTGTGACACACTGGGAGACTGAGAACATGATTTATAAACCTGGTGAGGGAACAAGAACATTGGGGAACATTTAAGCCTTCAGAATCTGTTCTTCGTGAAAATTCAAACTCTGATATGGATTTTATTCCTTTCAGTCTGGAACCAGCTGCTTTTCCTTTGGGACCAAATTTATTCCTTATTTGTGGACTTGAATATCTTTTTCCTCTTTTAAAATATAAATCTGTTGTGAAGCCATCCGATAGTGAATCAGGATCTGGTCCAGGAACCAGGATTCATGTTCTCTAGATGTAACCGCCTGAAGGTTGAACCATTGAGAGGATGTTTCTTTGGGGGTTTTGATTTTACGAGAATTTGAATACATTAAAGGGGTGATAGAATGCAAAACCGAGTTTCCATTGGCATAGATGCATAACGATAGTTCAGTGGGTGAAATGGACATAAAGAGAAGTTGAAACCCCATCAACACCTCATTTCTCTGCAAATCTTACCATAAAACCGGCGAATGCAAACCAAGAACTGAATTGACGCAAACTAGGGGATGTTGCCTTATTTGGTACTGGCCTGTACTTTTGTCATGCCCCGAAATTGACATACAGATCAGCCCACTGTAGGTATAAAGTGTGGACTGCTGGGCCGCTGACTGGACCGGACCTCAGCAGAGAGCCATGAGCCGCCCTTCCTTAGCCAGAGGAGTGGGGCTGGGGGCCAGTAAGGCAGGCAGGGGGAAGCACGGGGCCGCCGATGTCCAGGCTACTGTCACCGGGTCAGGTTTGGTTGCTCCGTCCCCGGCTGGCTCCCTGCCCCCGTCCGCTGGGGTTCCTGGACCAGCCCTGGAGCTGATGGTTCGGTTCTGCTGCACTGTAGTCGTCCAAAATCCCGGACATTTTTTCATGTATGAAAAGTAGTGAGTGAGTGCTTGTTGCTAGGATGCGTCTTTGCTCAGCAGCTTTGCTCGTTGTAAACCAACCAATCAGCGCACAGCTCATCTCAATATTCATGATCATACCATGAAAGGAAGAAAACCTGTCGTTTCATTCTAGGGCTTTTAACCAGGCTGAATTATGGCTCATAGAACACCAGATATGCCATTTTCAGCCCAACCAATGTTACACACCCTATTCAGAGACCTTAAGGACCAAATACCCTATAGAATCATTCTATCACCTCTTTAAGCTGATGAAGATTCTGTCACTACCCAATCCGTCCCGGAAGCCTGATCGGTCCTGCACCATCAGCTCATGTGCACATCCAGATATACATCCGGGTCGCCCTTGATTTTATTTTGACATTTTTCCCTCTCCAAAAATAGTAAGCGTACTAAAATATAACCTGTTAAAGGTTAATCATTTATTTCCTGAGAAAATAAAGGCCTTAAAATCATCTGCACCGCTACTTCCAGTAGCTAACTTTTTCAGCTTTGGATTTAAACATGAATCTTGTCTTTCTGAGTTTTATGTTTTCCTTTTGAGTTAACATCATGGTATAAAGTGCGTAATCTAAAGAAAGAAACAACTAAAATGTAGATAAACATGGTTTAATCATATTTTGCTGGACTGCTCTGAACATGTCCAATGATGACCTCAGAGAAGCGATTTAACAAAGAAAATGTAAAAACCATCAAAATTGTCTCACCATCATTACATTATTTTTGGACACCCAGATGTATATCTGTTGGCGCAGGACGGATCGGGTAGGGACAGATTCTCAGTTATCCGGGTCATAGTCATTCAAAAAAAGTAAAAAATAAAATAAAAAAGCCACTTTTGTTTGTTTTTACTTTTTTGAATTGAATACATTAAATGTTCAAAAAAGAGGAAACATTTGTTATAAATGATTACAATCTGACTTTTTCGTTTTAGAAATCCGGTCCAGTCTGGAACCCATCGTCTTTCAGCTGGTTTTTAAAGTTCTGTCACATTTGTTAGAACCAACTTTAGAGAACCAGAATTTCTTTCTGGGAAAACTGATCCTGAAATATGGATCAGAACAATAGAAACTAAAAATGTTCTGACCCCCATGGGGACATTGAGGTTCTAGGGACCAAAACAGAGCAGAACTCCAGGATCAGAACCTATTTTTCAGAGGAAAGTGAAGTAATTTTATAGAATCAAGACTTCTGTTCAGAGAACCTTCCTGTTAGAACCTGAAATCATTCTGTATAGATTGGATTTGTGATCATGGGAATGGGTTGTCAGCGAACCAGACGGTTTCCCAGAGGAACCTAGAAAAGAAGCAGGAACAGGACAATCTTTGGAGCTGGAAGGTCTGGTTTATTCCCAGCTCTGGTTCTGGTTTTACTAAATTCTTTGAGTTTCTGGGGAAAATTCTGGAAGTTTTCCTTTAGGTGAAACCGACAGAGTCAAACTGTCGGCCCAAATCCGTCCCGGCCCCACAGAAACACTCATGATCCTTTGACGTGATCAAAGAGCCGAACCCAGATCCGCTCGGGCCCGCGGATAATCCGGATCAGCCCTCATCAGATCATTGCTGTGTTTTTGTGGGAATAAGTAGAGGGGGCTCAGAGGGGGAGGAATTTACAGCTCAGCGGAGACCAGAACCCCGAGGCTCCGATCCGATCCGCTGTCGTCACGTCCAAAAGCTGAGATGGATGTTCTTCATGCTTTCTACACATCAGCCTGAGTTCTGGAGCACAACAAGGCCCGGGGGAGCGCCAACATTTGTTCTGCTTCGCCTCCGTTGCAACACATCTGGCCCGAAAAGTTCTGAAAAATTCCTGCTCATGTTTAAAGACAAGGCCTCAGATGGTTCTGTTTAACACAAGCGGTTCTGGCAAACGCTGCCAAACCCAACGTGATCTGAAGGAAGAGAAGGTGAAAAGGTTCTGCACGCGATCGGGCTGAAATAAATGTCTGCTTTAGAACTCACCTGGTTCTGAACCTGAACCACTGACCCTGATCTCCTACTGTACCCCTCCAAAACAGAACCAGGTCTGTGTGTCCGGCTCGTCACATCGTGAGGGGATTTTTATGTCCAAGACGTCCGGGCCAAAGTCCAAGAATCTGCTGATCCCCTGAACACATCTCAGCTGGAGGACATTAACTGCTCGTTTAAACTAGATTTGTTTCTCTTGTTCAGGCTCGGATGTTCTGATCGTTTGGCTCCAGTACCACATGGGCCGGGCTCGTGCTGGAGCACTCACTGTCTACAGCTGAAACAGAGAAGTTCTGGAAGATGATATTTCCTGAAGAACACATCCGGATGGAAGGTTTCTGACATTTAGTGGATCAGAACCAAACCCCTCCTCCCTGCCTTGGTTAAGGTATGAATGTTCCCAGGGGGATCTGGATCTGACCTTGGTCCTGAACCTGAGAGTCCGTGCAGCGAGGAAAGTTCTGATCTGCACCGGATAAATTAAATCACCTCAGATGTTGGAAGACGGAGCAGCGGAACCTTCAGATCAGAGTCCAGACCTGAAGGAGCTGAAGGCTTCCTGGTTCTGATCCATATTGCATGTTTGAGGAACATTAAATAAACGGAGATTTTGAGGCTTGATTAGGATGAGAAGAACGAAAGGTCCAGTTTTTCAGAACCTCCTGGTTTGGAGCTGCTGATAAAAGGATTTTTCATCAGAACCGGGTCAGATAGGGTTCCGTTCAACAACATAAGATCAGAACCGAGTTTAAAGCTGAAAACAACAAGTTTGGAAAATGTTCTGGTTCTGTTTTGTTTTTTTCTGTTTTGATTTAATTTAATAAGAAATAAATAATCTGAACAAACCAGAACCCCAGAACCTGAACAGTAGACTGAGGTTTTAAAGCTCGTTTTGGACCCACTCTGATAATTCTGGTTCGGTTTCATGTGAGGTGGGTCCATGAAATGAAGATCTGGACAAAATTGGTTCCTAAATAAAAAAAGGATCAGCTTCAATTAATTAAACTAAAGGCCCAAACCTGAACTAGCTTGGACTCAGGTGCTGGGATGGGTGTTAAATGGGCCGGGCCAGAACCTGTACAGCTAAATCCACAAACAGGAGCAGAAGTTCTGCTGCAGCTCAGCTGGACTCAGGCTGAAGGTAAAACATCAAAATCAGCAGGATGGAGGACGTCTCAGATTGAGGTTCTACAGAACCGCATCTGGTGATTGACGGTTCTGATGATGACGAGAAGATCAGGAGATCCTGTCCTGTTGGTTCCACAGGTGATTATGAGGTGGCCATGAAGGAGAGCAGCTCTGGTCTGAAGCTTTATCGGCTCCTCTGGGTCTGCAGCCCCCTCCTGGAGGAACTCTGAACAGCATGAACATCCGCAGCTGGAGGAGGAAGAGGAGGAGAAAGAAGGGCCAAGAGGAGGAGGAGGAAAATGAGGAACCAGGAGGAGAAGGAGGAAGAGGGGCCAAGAGGAAGAGGAGGAGCCAGGGGGAAAAAACAGGAGGAAGAGGGGGTGGAAGAAGGAGGAAAAAGAGGATGAAGAATAACCAGAAGGAAGAGGAGGAACCTGGAGTAAAAATTAGGAAATAAACAAAAGGAAGAGGGGCAGGATCCAGGAGGAAGGGATAGGGACCATGAAAAAGAAGAGGAACCATGAAGAAAAAGAGGTGGAGGAGCCAAGAGGCAGAGGAGAAGGAACCTTGAGGAAGATAAGGAACAACCATGAGGCTAGACTTGAACCAAGAACCTCCCGGTTGAAGGACAAACTCCCACATCCGAGCATTAAAGAATCATTAAACCCTCCTCTGAGAACCAAACTGGGCTTAGTTTTCCTTCAGTTCTCCGATCAGTTTGGTTTTAGCTCAGAGCAACAGAACCCGAGCAGAACACATGTTCCTCCAGAGGAACATTCTCTGATTGGGTTCCTGTAGACGCCCTCACTCTAAATGCAAACTCACGTTCTGTTCTAAGCCGCCAAAACCAGAATATGAAGCGGCTGTGACCGGAATATGAAATCTCAGATCTGATCCAGAAAATGATTCCAGCGCTGACACCACAGAGCACGAAAAAATGTCTGTTTTCTGACCACATGTTGCTGCTAGATGAGCCCATCAGAACCACTGACAGCTGCTCAGGGATGATTCAGAATTCACACAGAACTGTTCTGTTGTTTGCAGCGGGTCCAGACACACTTCCAGGTCCGGATCAGCGGTGATCCAAAGCAACCAGCTGGTTCTGGATGGTTTCTGCTCTTTAACCTGCTCTGACCCACCTGCAGGAAGCTGCACAACACATGATCCCCGAACATGGGCAGACTGGGCCGGCTGTCGCGGTACACATGCACCGTGTAGATCGTCATGACGACGGGGTGAGGCTCTGACGCATCGGTTACCAGGATGCTGATCCGGCTGGCACCAAGACCAACCGGGAAGTTTGCCATCCTAAGGGGCAACATAAGGAACCACATGAACTGAGAGGTTAGAGGTCAGAAATGAGGGGGGGTGGGGCACTACGCTCACCTGGGACCTCGATGGTTGTCCAAGTGGATCACACAGCCGGTGCTGACCGGTTCTGGTCGGATCCGCACTGTCACTGTGTCGAATGGTACCTCGGCTCGGTATTCTTTCAGGGTGGGGCTGAAGGGCGGAGTCAGAATGAGTGGGGGGTCGGTGTAGATCTGTCTGAGGTGGGGGTCTGAGCAGGAACCTGGGGGTGACAGGAATCGGCCAATCAGAGCACAGATCCTGGGGCTTAAAAACCAAGTCTGGTAAAGATTGGGACTGATGTCAAACCCGGTTCTGGTCCAGTTCTGACCTGCATTCTGACCCGGTGCGGGTCCAGTTCTGACCTGCTTTCTGACCCGGTGCGGGTCCAGTTCTGACCTGCTTTCTGACCCGGT